CACACACACACACACACAGAGCAGACACAAGTTTAGAATTTATATTCGCGTTAATTCCGGCGCAGCGCTTCAGGCATACTGAATATTAATCTCCACACAGTAACTTATCCCAGATAGCGCAAGATGTCCCGAAGTCATTCGGGATGTCCAGGAGTGCCCCGAGGAGTGTCTCGGAATGTTCCAAGCGGATGCAGAACAATCTCAGGGCGTTTTGTACTATCTCGAATCGTCATTAAAAGGTCGATTGGCGTGCCAAGGACGACTCTTCGATTTTTCGCGAAAATTGGAAATTGATCCGAGAATAATATCCGACCGTTCGTTCCGGGTCTATTATACTCGTACGAATTCGCGATCGTATCGAGGTCCGGCTTATCACCACGGCGATGCTCGATCGCTCCGAATCTCTCTCGCGCCGCCGAGTCGGCGCGCGGTACGTATATGTAATTGAGTAGATGATTGCATGCAAGCTGCCGGATATTTCGCGCGATATTTCCAGCCCGCCCCGGTATTCGGACGAAGAATCTTATTACGACTGCAATTTAGCCGGCCGCGCCGTGCCCGGGAGGAAATTTCGGCCCGTTTCATGGAACTTTAAATTTCATTCAGGCCGGGCGCATGCCCGCGCGCGTGGCCCGACAGGCCGAAGCCAATATGACAAATTATTAATCACGATACGCCCCCCCACATCGTGCACGCCGCACTTTCTTCCCATGGCGAGGCCACTGGCCACGTTCATCAAAATCGCGCTATCGATGTCATTGTCGCACAGCATCGCGCCACGTAGTATCTCTCAACGTTTGCTCTTCGCGGCCGCGACAAGACGCGGCTGTGTAAATCAGACGCTTTACGTAATCAATTTTGAAGATAACACGAAACGCACGTGGTGGTGCGTCGTAGACGTGTATTGCTCCTATTAGGCGCTCGGTGTATCGGAACAGGTGGAAAATTTCTACACGTTGCGCAAATATCGATCCACTCTCGATGTTTCAATGCGGCTTCATATCCAAGATGCAGCGCGATATTGGCGCGCTATTTATAGTCGCGTTTCTGCCGAGCGACTCGACTAGGAGAGCGGTCTTGAGAAGTGACACGGTTCAATAGGTGAATCCTGAAAGTCAATTTGTTATGTCGTGACGTCATATTTATAATCGCGATCCAACTGAGGAGGCTTGTCTTGAGAGTTCTATATTTCTCACTTGTCCCATCCATTTCCCGAGAGAGGATCGTACGTGTGCGTAATCGTGACTAATCGCCATTGAATCACATGTCAATTCAGTTAAATCGAAAAAGATTGCACGTTAACTCGGATTTGAGAAGAAAATTAAATATTAAAACATTTAAAAGATAATAAAACAATTAGATGAATAAATTTATATATAAATAATAATCAAGAATAAAAAGATA